GAGGCACCTGAATATATTTACTGGGTAATAGGAGAAAGGGAATCTAGTCTCATCGTTGAACAGGGCACAAAGCCCAAGATTATGAGGTGCTTAAAGGAACCAGAAGATGCCACTGGAGTTGGCAAAGAATAAAGTTTTTGACATAAAGAGCAAACTTGTTAATAGCGTATTTAGAGTGGAAGTTATTTTGCAGTAGGTGCTGCAGGATGTGATGTGTGAACCACATACATGGGCTTTCAGGACTTTAGCTGTGAAAGGGAAGAAAGCTAAAGCTGCAGGTAGAGAAAGAGATGAGGACTTTGACGGGAGCTGTGGAGCCATGTTTAAACATAGGCATAATGGGAAAGACAGAGGCAACTGGGGAAGAATTCACAATTCAAATTGGAGGAAGATCTTTAAAACCCAAAGGGATGGGAATCAAGTACATAAAAAGACTGTTTTAGCCATTTATGTTAAGGCATATTTCTTAGCATCTTATCAGAAAGAAAATAAGATTATGAGGTGAGTTTGCATGTGAAGGTAACAAACCAAGGATGCACTCACTGCCTCATGTCCTTTGTCTTCTGTGGTATTCTCCGTGGTATTCCTGCAAGAGAATGAAGAACCAAAATAATTCCGTGCCATTGAGTCAATTCCAGTTCATAGTGACACTGGGACACTGGGTTTCTGAGACTATGAGCACAGAAAGCCTTCTGCATAACAGCTGGTGAATTTGAACTGTTGGCCTTGTGGTTAGCCCAAAGTGCAACACACTACACCACCACCAAACTTGCTGTCATTGACTCTACAGGACAGAGCAGAACTGCCCCTGTGGGTTTCCAAGACAGTCTCTCATCCCTTGGAGCAGCTGGGTGGATTCAAGCTGTTGACCTATGAGTACCTGAGTACAAGGCCCCCTAAGGAGGGGTTAGTCTAGCATATTAGAGAGGCGTAGAGAACTGCTTAGATATGAACTGTATAACAAGATGAGAGTTTGAGCAAACAGACACGTCACAGGCAGTTTTGAGAGTCCAGTTGAAATGAGACGATTTGTAGTATTAACCGAGTGATATGGAGTAGAGGGTTTATTGATCTGGGATTAGGGTTTTGCTCTCTGAGAAATGGATAACAAGGCAAGGATGTTGAAGAATTTGACCAAAGCTAGAATGATGGTCCATGGAGTCCCGACTGCTGAGAGATTGAAATGGAGGTGAGAACTATATTGGAGCATGTAAAGAGGCAAGGACTGCCAGTCATCAAAAAAGCAAAACTCATTGCCATCCAGTAATTCCAACTCATAGCGATCCTATAGGACAGGGTAAGACTGCCCCTGTGGGTTTCTTAAAACTGTAACTCTTTAGAGGATAGAAAACCTTGTCTTTCTCCCATGGAGTGGCTGGTGGTTTTGAGCTGCTTACCTTGTAGTTAACCCACTGCATAACCAATTCTGTCACCAGGGCTCCTGTCAGCTAGGATGGTGCGAATTTGAGATTTCAAGAACAGAATAGTTGAAGACAAGCAGGAGCTTTGGTGGTAATCCTGGTGGAGGCGAAGTTCCTTTAAGTTGAGGTGGGTAGGGACTGAGAAACCAAATGAAGACTAAACCAAGTGTCAAGATCCCTCCATGTGGAGTT